AATTTAGGATTTTTGTTATTATTTTTAATTTACATATAATATGGGCCCGTGGATCACATTGTGGGCCCGTAAAATTTGAAAAGTTAGGAGCCCACATGGCCCCTAAGGTTTCAAAAGTTAACCACAACCCTGGACAGAGTAAAAGGAAAACCTATATATCCCTTATATGAACCTTATCATACATGTTACATTGGAAAAAATCTTCTTCTCAAGAACAACTTAGCCATTATTAGTTATATCTATACGAAGTAACCTTAGGCAGTGATTCATTTTGGTCTGCATCCTGTGTAAATTACACATGAATTTTGCTCAGGACACATTATTTCAATTAATGTGCATCCCAATGGACACATTAAACTATAAAATGAAAGGTATCATTTTAAATTATTTCAACATAATCTGCTTCAAAACTTGGCCGATTGCATCATATCCACGTGCTAAGCGATATGCATGAGCGATTTTAACTGGTATAAGGTTGCCAATAACAGGTCAGATTTTACACTTCACTGTAAGTTAAATTACAATTAACAATGAAACAATTATCAGAAAAAGAAAATTCAATTTTGTCTGCTGTGGAACATTTCCGAAGTGTATACTATACATCTGAATTTTAGCTGTAACCTGAATCATTTTAATTTTTTCCTTAGAAGCTAATAGGTATTTGATCATTCTTCTTTCTGCAGGCGAGGATCCAGGAATTTTTTTCAGGGGGGGGGGGGGGGGGGTCCACCCCAGTCAAAAAAAATTTCCAATCCCAAAAAATTTGGTGACAAGAAAAAAAACAACAACCTAAAATCCATTTCCAAAACATGAAAAACACATATTTCCTAGTTGTGATGGTGGGGTCCATGTTTTCTAGGGGGTGGGGAGTCCAAAGTCATTTTTAATACTTTTAGTAACTCTGCAAATTCCAGAGGGTGGGGGGGGGGTGTCCAGACCCCCCTAACTCCCCCTCTAGATCCACACATGTTCTGGCTATTTTTCTTTCTTTTTTTAACAAATCTTTCTTTACTTCATTCAACAGAACAACTGGTCTGCTTCTGTGCATTTTATGACAGATAAAAATTATGTATGAAATTGTATGTACGATCTTAAAATAAAACCACAGTGCATAGTTGACAATATATTATTTACATGCCACAAAATCATTAATTCTTACTTCCAATTGATAGTAATTATAGTATAAACCACTCACAGCTTCAACAAAACAACTGCACTTTCGGACAAAACCCTTTTCTATTTCACCAGAATTTCCTCTGCAATATCTAATATACAGGACCATTGTGTATTTTGGCATGGGACTCATTGTTGTCAGTAAAAGGGGTCCTTTGGACCCATGATAACCATTTTCAAAATGAATCACTGCTTAGGTATATTAGAATCATATTTGTTCAAATTATGACCCCCCCAGGGGTTGGGGGGGGGGGGCACAACAAAGGTCAAAGTTTTACATACAGGAATCATCTTGAAAATATCTGCTCAAGAACAGAAAAGCCATGATTAGTCACATTATCATAGAAGCATCCTCAGGTAGTGTAGATTTAAATTTGTTCAAATTTTAGGACTCAGCGACTCTAGAGACTCTAACCACTGTGCCAAGCGAGCAAAAGAATAAATAGGAAAACAAATCTTTACAATTCTACTTAAGAACAGCAAAGCTATGATTAGTAATATTGATACTGAAGTATCCTGAGGTAGAGTAAATTTAAAGTCTGGTTTGCCTTCTACCCCATAAACTTTTCATAGTGATCTGATTTCTGCTACTTCCTAGCCAATGTGCTCAGATGAGTGATGTGGTCCATGGGCCTCTTGTTCATCTTAAAATATTTTTTTAAGCTAGGCACAAGCACAAATCAGTTCGGCATTGAAAAAATTACATGGCGGGGGGGGGGGGGGGGGGGGGTGTGTTGATTTTTAAACTACCTGATGATGCTTCCATATCAACATATGGCTTTGTTTACCTGGAAGATTTCTAAGAAAAATTCCCATATATTCCTTTGTAAAAATTTGATCCCCCATTGTGGCTCCTCCCTATCCAAAGAGTCATCCTTTGAACAAACTTGAATCTACATTACCCGAGGATGCTTCCATATCAATATGGCTAAACAGCTTTTCTGTTCTTGAGAAGATTTTTTTTCTATATGTTCTTATGTAGAACTTTTGATTCCCCATTGTGGCCCCACCCTACCCTCGGGGGTCATCATTTGAACAAAATTGAATCTACACTACCTGAGGATGCTTCCATATGAAAATGACTAAACATGATTTTCTGTTCTTGAGAATAAGATATTTTTCTATATGTTCCTATGTAAAATTTGTGATCCACTATTGTGGCCCAACCCTATCCCCAGGGGTCATCATTTTAACAAACTTGAATCTACACTACCTGAGGATGCTTCCATATCTATATGACAAATCATAGCTTTGCAGTTCTTCAGATTGAAGAAGATATTTTCCTATTTATATATTTCTATTTAAGACTTTGATCCTCCATTGTGACCCCACCCTCCCCACATGGGTCATGATTTGAAACAAAATAGAATCTACACTACCTGAGGATGCTTCCACATAATATGACCAATCAGGGCTTTGCTTTTTAAAATTTTTCCTATATTTTTCTATTTATTTTTGATCCTCAATTGTGGCCCCAAGCTACCCCTGCGAGCCATGATTTGAACAAACTTGAATCTACACTACCTGAGGATGTTTCCACATGAATTTCATCTTTCCTGGCCCTGTTGTTCTTGAGAAGATTTTTAAAAGATGCTATTAATTTTTCACTAATTTTTAATTATCTCCCCTTGAAAGAGGGCATGGTCCTTCATTTGAAAAAAACTTTAACCCCCTTCGATAAAAGATGATTTGTGGCAAGTTTGGTTGCAACTGGCTTAGTGGTTCTGTAGAAGAAGTTGAACACGTGAAAAGTTTACAGACAGATGGATGGACAGATGGGCTACAGACAAAATGTGATCAGAAAAGCTCACTTGAGCTTTCAGCTCAGGTGAGCTAAAAAAGCAAAAATCAGTTCAGTATTGAAAAGTTTAGGGGGGGACTTGAATTTTAAACTTCCTAATGATGCTTTCATATCAGTATAACAAATGGCTTTGCTGTTCTCAAGCAGCAGATTTTGTCCTTTATATTCATTTCTAAAAATTTGATCCCCCATTGTGGCCCCACCCTACCCCCAGGGCTCATGAATTGAACAAACTTGAATCTACACTACTTAAAGAAGCTAACATATCAATATGACTAATTACGGCTTTGCTGTTCTTGAGAAAAAGATTTTCTCCTATATATTCCTATGTAAAACTTTGATCCCCCATTGTGGCCCCACCCTACCCCAGGGGGGGCATAATTTGAACAAATTTGAAGCTACACTACCTGAGGATGCTTCCATGTAATTATGACCAATCATGGCTTTGCTGTTTTTGAGAAGAGTTTTTAAGAATTTTCTATGTATTGCTATGTAAAACTTTAATTGCACATAGTGGCACCACCCTACTCCTGGGGTCATGATCTGAACAAACTTGAATTTACACTACCTGATGATGTTTCCACATAAATTTCATCTTTCCTGGCCCAGTGGTTCTTGAGAAGAATATTTCTAAATGATGCTATTATTTTTATTTAATTCCTAATTATCTCCCCTAGAAAGAGGGTGTGGCCCTTCAATTGAACAAATTTGAAACCCCTTCTTCTAAGAATACTTTGAGGCAGGTTTGGTTGAAATTGGCCCAGTGGTTCTTGAGAAATTGAAAATGTGAAAAGTTTACAGACAGACAGCTAGATGGACAGCTAGACAGATGAACGTCGAACAAAATGTGATCAGAAAAGCTCACTTGAACCTTCAGCTCAGGTGAGCTAAATATTTGAAAAATGCATTTTGAGATGGTCTCTAAAAATACCTAGAAGATCAATTTTCCTGAAACTTTACCTGTACACTGAAGTCAATGGACACAACACATAGAATAAAAGTAAATGTTTTTCTATTGTAGTTTTTTTTTTCACAAATAATCCCCAGTTGCCTCCTTTTAAACATAATTTTAAAAAAAAGAAGAAAATCACCTTAATTAAAGGTCACATTGACCTTACTGTAGGGTGCCACGAATCTTCTACCTAAGATGCCTTAACTGACAAAGTTTGAACATCCTAGGTCTAACAGTTTTCCAGTTATGAGTCTGACAAAATTTTTACCATAGTTTGCAACATCATCCTCTATAAAGGTCACAGTGACTTAGTTTTAATGTGCAACATCCTTGTTCACAAGATGTATCAGCTGACAATACTATTTAACCAGGTTCAATCAAGGGTGTATGGGGATTTACCCTGGGTTTTATTCCATACACTGGAGGCTGAACACCGAAGGGTGTATGGAATACACTGGAGGCTGAACACCGAAGGGTGCAAGGAATACAACCCATGGCAAATCCCCATTCAGCCTTGATTGTACCTGGATAACAAACTTATTTCCTACGTAACCAAATAAATTTCTTGCAAACCCAAATCCAAACTATGGTATTTCAAACTATCTGTAAGATTTACTATGTGCTACAATGCATTGTGACATCATGTTATTTGCATTTTGTGATGGAGAAACTATGCAAAGTGACGTCATGTTCTTTACCTGGCTCAAGTCAGGGGTACAGAAATTTACAACCGGCTTACACACCAATCAAATCTCATGATGCAAGCTACATAGGAAATAAAGTTTATTCTAGGCCTCACAGTATTAAAGCTATGAGCAGGACATGAAAAAGCTAACATGAATGCCAGCCATAATACGACCCATTTAAAGATAAAGCATATAAAAAGGGCTGTGACAGCCCTGTTGCTATTGATAAACACTTTTACTAAAAAGTTTTTAGCAAAAAGTGCTATAAATCAAAAATTAATTTTATCTGAAAACTTAATAAATGTTTAAAATATGACTTGCAAGGTTAGCTGATCTTTTCTGTTTGCTATTATCATGATTATCAAGATTACTATAAATAACTGCATACCCAAGTCTTCTCAATGGTAAAGCCAAGTATTCTATCAGATATTGGTGATAATTCTAGGTAAACAAACAGTTCACCAATATGCTGAGACCAAATCCTTTGGTCTCCAATGTAGGAAGTCTCAGCATCATGTAAGGAGCTAGCTCTGAGTTTCTTTTTGGGAGGGGACAAATCATCATCTTCTTTGGATAAGGTTTTCTTTACCTAAAAGTACATAAATGTATCTTTAAACAGAAACAAAGTATTTTTCTTTTCATGATGCATGCTACAAAATATACCATTTAGTGAGACATTCATGTCCAATGGCATATTTTTTATTTCTTCAGTCTCTGAAATCTCTTTTCCCAATTGAGTGAACGTTGAATAATTTTTTTTTCCAATATATATTCCCATGTAAAACTTTGATCCCCTATTTCTATTGTGGCCCTATCTATCGCCGAGGGCCATGATGTGTACATTTCTAAATCTGTATCGGTGCTATCTGAGGATGGTTGCATATAAATATGACTTACTATAGCATTGCTGTTTTAAAGCAGCAGTAGACCTTTTCTAGTTTATTTGTGTGCCAAAAGTAATATAGAAATCAGACCAAAACTATAGGAGGAGCAGATTTTGAAAGTATTTCACAAAAATTTCTATTTTTAGTAACCATGGCAACAACATTCGACGAAATCAAAAACTGACATACAGAATTATGTATCTTAGAATGGTCAACTTGCAGGTTAAGATATTCTGAAATCAGACCAAAATTATAGGAAGAATAGCATTTTGAAAAATTGTTTACAGACAGACAGACTGACACCTTACTTTCACATAAGCCCTTCTGAACCAGTAGAGCTAAAAATATGAGAGCAACAAAATAAAATTACCGGGTATGTGGAAACATACATTATATTTGTTTGCTTTTCTTTTTTCCTAAAATAAAATAATTTTTCCTACTTAATTAAATATATGCAGTAATTTTAAAAGTTTTGATTTCAATACACTATTGAATTGATCCTAGCTTTTTCAAATTACTTTTCCAAGAAAGCAAGGCCATCTTTGAACAAAAGGTCTATGGGCCACATAGCTCACCTGAGCATTTGGCTAGGAGTTCAGTATTTTATAAGTGGTATCAACCTACACCTAAGGGGAGGGGGGATAATTTAAACTTGAATCTACATTCACTGAGGATGCTTTCATATTCTGTTCACAAATTATGGCTTAAGTAGTCAGATTTTTAAAGATTTTTTCCCCATAAGTTTTGTCTTCTATTGTGGAAACTCCCTACCCACAGGGGATATAATCTTTGCTGTTCTTGAGGAGATTTTTTAAGACTTTCCCAATGTTTATCAATGTCAAACCTTGATCGTCCATTGTGGTCCAAACCTACCCCTGGGGGCCATGATTTGAACAAACATGAATCTTCACTACCTAAGGATGCTTCCATATAAATATGACCAATCATGACTTTGCTGTTCTTGAGAAGAAGATCTTTAAAGATTTTTCCTATGTATATCTATGTAAACCTTTGATTGTCCATTGTAACCCCACCCTAAAACTGGAGGTCATGATTTGAACAAACTTGAATCTTCACTACATGAGAATACTTCCATATAAATATGACCAATCATGGCTTTGCTGTTCTAGAGAAGAAGATTTTTACAGAATTTTCCAATGTATTCCTATGTAAAACTTTGATCATCCAATGTGGCCCCACCCTACCCCAGGGGTAATGATTTGAACAAACTTGAATCTGCACTATCTGAAGATGTTTCCACATTAGTTTCATATTTCCTGGCTTTAATATTATTGAAAGATTGTTAAAAGATTTTTCTTATGTATTCCTACGTAAAACTTTGATCATCCCGTGTGGCCCTGCCCAACCCCAAGGGGTCATGATTTGAAAAAAAAATTGAATCTACACTATGTGAGGATCTTTCCACACAAGTTTCATCTTTCCTGGCCCAGTGGTTCTGAAGAAGATTTTTAAAGTTTTTTCCCTCTGTATTCCTATGTAAAACTTTGATCATCCATTGTGGCCCTGCTCTACCCCCAGGGGTCATGATTTCAAAAAAACTTGCATCTACACTACCTGAGGATGCTTTCATATAAATTTCATCTTCCCTGACCCAGTGTTTCTTGAGAAGAATTTTAAAACATGCCACTAAATTTTCTTTATTTCTTAATAATCTCCTATTGAAAAAGGGTGTGGCCCTTCATTTGAAAAAAAAAAAAACTTGAATTCCCTTCACCCAAGGATGCTTTGTGGCAAGTTTGGTCAAAATTGGTCCAGTGGTTCTGGAGAAGAAGATGAAATTGTGAAAAGTTAAGGATGAAGATGACTACGGCAGACAATGGACAAATTTTGATCAGAAAAGCTCACTTGAGCCTTAAATTTGGCTGAAATTGTTTGTTTGCCCCTCCTGACTGACTAAAAAAGGGCCCAACTCAGAACTTTTTTTACCCATCAGAAAACAATTATTTTTTTTTAATCATTCCAAAATTTTTTCATCCTATTAATAACTATTGTAACAGGGAAGGAGAAAATGTATGGTTGGACTGGGAATGGAACCCAGGACCCCTGCATCACTAGTCAGGTGCTCTACCGACTGAGCTACTCTGGCCAATATCCAAGGCCCAGACCATTACATTCCTCCCTCCATAAAATGTCTTCACCCTCGAAGACACAATCCAAGTTCTTATTTGCCTCTGGCAGGTGGTGAACGGCATCAAATCTGTAACAGGGAAGGAGAAAATGTAAGGCTGGACCAGTAATTGAACGCGGGACCCCTTCATCACTAGTCAGGGGCTCTATCGACTGAGCTACCCAGGCTGATATCCACGGCCCAAACCATTACACTATTTTAATTTCATGATCTTAAAGTTTTTTTGAATAAACAAAATTTTTGCCCTACCTACCTACCCAATTTTCTTTAATCCTGAGTCCAGAAAGGGCAAGCAAACTTTTTTTAAAGATGGCCCAATATTCTTTTTTTTTTTTCAATTGAAAATTCAACATGACTCCAAGAGAAGTCTAGCATAATGTAAAAATTATAAGTCCACACTTATTCTGGCTAATTATAACCATACTGATCTTCACTTGCAAGGGTTGTCCCAGAATAACAAGAACATTTTCAATATTTTTGGGTTCACTTATATTATAAACTTACAAATTGGTATGCACCATAATCAACAATTTTACATAATTCACAGAAATTTCAGTAAAACGACATCATCGTTTTTGACAATATCTAACTTATATTGTTTGTGCATATAACATCATATTTTTCTTATTTATAATGTCAGAGTATTGATTTTTTTTTTTTTACACACAAGTACTCTAGATCATACAGTTTCTATGGATGTAATATTGGTCACATTAAATTTCTGTACAGCCTGATAATAAAGAAAACATCACAGTCAATGCAATTTTTGAAATTTAAAAAAATTGCAGTGCGCCGACTACCAATATTTAACACCCTTTACATGTCATTTCTCAATGCTTATAACATTACAACCTTATATTATTTATCCAAAATGATGAAAATATCATTTCCAGATATATAATTGTGCCAAAAATGAGTAATTTTGGTCTGGTAGTTTATAAAATATTTGAAAAGTTTGCGTTTTTCTGGGACAACCCTCGTATAAGTGAAATATTCACCGATATGTGACTAATCTTCACTTATAAGTGAAGTATTAATGAAATCTGTTCCTCACTTAAAAAGTAAATTTCAAAACTTATAGATAAATTATAAGTGGCTTATAAAACACAAGTTTCTATTGGTTTTCTTTGCAAGTAGTGGCCCCAACCTACCCCCTAGGTAATGATTTGAATCTACAATATGTCAGGAGCCTTTCTTGTTTAATCTTTTCTGGCCCAGTGGTTCTTGAGAAGAAGATTTTTAAATGACCTCACCAAATTTTGCCTTTTTCTTAATTGTCTCCCTTTCGAAGTGGACATGGCCCTTCATTTGAACAAACTTGAATCCTCTTTATCCAAGGATACTCTGTGCCAAGTTTGGTTGAAATTGGCTGAGTGGTTCTGAAGAAAAAGATGAAATTGTAAAAAGTTTACGATGACAACAACAGACAATGGACAAATTCTGATTAGAAAAGCCTTTAGCTCGGGTGAGCTAATAAAAAACTTGAAATGAACAATGTTGTAGATAATACTTTTTAAAACATAATTTGCTTTTTTAAACATGGTATGTCCAGTATCAAAACCTCTTAACCCATGCTTACACATTGATCCTTTTCCATTTTAGAAAGACTGTTAATTTCACTTTGTAGTTCTGTATGTCAATGAAGACAAACAGAGACTGAACCATGAGTAGATGCTTAATGAATGGTTAATGCATGGTGAACAAAAGTTAAATGCTTCGTGAACGGTGAGCGTGAGCTGATGAATGGTGTGTATAAAACTATAAATGGTGAGCATCTGCTAACACAAGGTGAAAACAGGCTGACAGAACTGGGACTGTTGCAGTCATGTTATTCTTTCATTAAGAATTAAACTGAAAGCTACCACTTTGATCCACGTGATTAACAAAGGGGATTGAGATTTCTGTGTAAAAGTCGTCTTTCTAAAGTTTCCGAGTTGTCTGTCAAAATTTTGAAATCACTCTCAGACATTGGGTCTGAAAAATTTCAGGGTCAGACAGGATGAAGTTTTGCCAGACAAGATTGATGGACCCTTGAGTGCCGAATAGTCACATACTTAAAAGAGTATCTGTTAATGGGAATTTAATGAAATCTGAGATTATTTCACCTGGTATTTTACCAGATCCTGTTATATTCTTTTTTCTGTTTATTCAAAAAACTTTAGCGCTTTATATTTAATTCATTATCAAGGCCCAAGGAAAGTAACATTCAATGGCAGACATATTTGTATTTCCTGGTGTTCCAATCATCCATTATAATAAAAAATCAGTTGATTGCTGGCATAATCCAAGCACTCAATTACAAAATTTTCATTTCGATTAATCAGGTTATTTATTTTAATTTACAAGCATAATAGTTTTTAAGTTGAATATTCCAGCTGCAACATGTCTTTTAACTTATTTATGTATCATAATGGCATAGACAAACAGACATTGTATTCATACCCGGGTAACAATGCTCATTTCCAGGTATGGACGTACTTTGGATTCTACAAAATGAACGAAGAACCAGCTATCTATCTATCTATCATTAAAATCATATTGTCCCTAGGACTAGGG